GTTATGTTCCAATAGATATGGAATATATAAATTGAGATAGTTGACGGAAGGGAAGTCCATTTTTTGCGTAAGGTGTTCAACATTGTTGATACAAAGACGAAGATGGCTGATATGAATGAGTTGAGAGGGAAATTTTTGTAATGCTTGGAGGTCTGGAAGGAAGAAATCGTCTAAGGATAAGGCCGATATGTTTGGGAGTCGGGTAAGAAAGTCGAGGGGCAGTTGTGGACACCCATGGGCGAGCATGAGAATCTTGACATTCGGGGAGCATATATCAAGAAGAGTAGACGTGTCGATCTCTATAGGGGTGTCTTCACCGCTATCTTCCGAATGGCGGAACATACAATTTTGAACTTGGCCACACAAACATTCGGTCGGCGCTCCAATGTACAACCGCCTAGTTTTGCTGGGCACCTGTTCTCGTGCAGTCTTGTCTAGATGTACATCTAAGAATATACACTCCATTGCAACGTCTCTCAGGATATTTGACCAAGTGCGACACACGGACCGGAGGCGTAGAATAGTGTTTCGGAGTCTCTTTGAGGAGTAACACCAGTTTGTGAAAGTATCGATACTTTCTACAATACCGTAAGGGAGTGTACCATCCTCTAGAAAGGGGGAAAGGGGAGAAGCGATAGCATGGCCGAGAATCAGCATCCAAATTTCGACTGGGGTTCGCTCCCAGGCCGAATCACCCATGTTCGACATGAATCCAAAACGCTGTTTAAGATTCATCCCCTTCATAAAGCTCATTGCTTCCTCTCTCTTCACTTTTGTCGGTTCAAGTATCGTGGTGAGAGTCCAAATACCAAAGGCGCCGGGGATGTATTACGCCCGACCCATCATCCGAGGTTCAGGGTGCATTACTGATTCGCTCGGGCATTCCGAGGATTACCGTAGAGGTGATCGGAAAAACTATTCAATAACAATCTAAGAGGATATCGGAATAGGCAAGTATATCCTCGAGGGTCTCGAATTAGAATTATCCTTTCACCGTCCAGACTTTTGGCCGCATTATTGGACTACTTGAATATTCCAAGATGATCAAGTTCAAAAAAGATCCAGTAAGTTTGAACCTACTGAGAGATTTTTGCCTGGATGTATGGGAGAGTCAGGATACACAGCACATGGGATCGATTTCGAGGTCCGTCTTTGTTTCTTCGACCCTACGCTCACCTGATCAATCCGGCGCTTGGCCTTTCTCACCAAAATCAACTATGGAATCTGCAGTAAAAAGAGTTCCTGTCGAAATCTGGAGAAAGATTTTGTACCAGGCTACGATGTCTCCCTTCCTGCCATTTACAGAGGAAGGAAAACTTTCGTCAGACTTGATGAAGAGCGTAGATCTCTTCTCTATGCAATGCCAGGATCTTCGTAGGTATCGGGACGAGACGGAAGCTATGATAGAGTGTTTGAGATTGGTTTGCCATATGTGGTCTGAACTGCTCCGAAATAGGTCCAGCGAACTCGCAGTTACGGACCTCAAATCTTACTATTTCCCTTCCAAGAAAGCTATGGATAAGGCCAAAAGAGTGGGCGTGGTTGAGAGCTTTATTTGTACATGCTCTTATCGTCTAGAGAAGAACTGTGTATATCGTCAAATACAAAACTATGGTGAAAGAGCAACGGGATCAGGCCCTTATACTGAGATTCCGCTTTATACACTATCCCCAAATGTAAGGATTCTCTCGTTGCCACGGTTCAATTCCCCAGTAAAATATCACTTTCCCGCGCCGTTGGAGAGTTTGATCGGCATATCCACTGGTGGGCACTCAATCCCGG